CAGGTAGGCCCCTTCTCCACCTGATCAGTCACACCCAAAACTCCTCAGGAACACTCAAAAGCCCATTAAATTGGCTGAACTGAGAACAGGAAGAGCAGGAACCTGACCCTCAGCTAAAAGAGCAGGTTGAGAGAATCCAAAGATGTTTACCTATTCCTGTTAGAATGTTTACCTATTACCTATTCCACAAACAAAACAAAACCCCTGCCCACACCTGTGGAAAGGACGGCCCTCTGGGGAAGGACCACCTCTCCCAGCCTCTGCCCTACACAGGGAATGTTCCCGAGCCGGGAAGAAGGCTGCTCTTGCTCTGAATGCCCCCTCCATCTTGAGTATGTCCTAAATCGCTGCCTGATAAACGCTTCCTGGGCCACGTACTGATGAGTCCTAAAACCTTCTTGCATGATGGAAGTTAGTGAAGCCTGGGCTACAATAGGCTAGTTAAATTCCTTATTTTTGCTTCTGGACATCTCAGCCCCATCGCAGTGACACTCTCGGGGGTTTAGGCCTCCCCCAGGGACCCAGCAAAGCCCCATGTCTTAAAAAAAGTCAAATGATATGGCTACAGCTCTGGGCCAGCAAAAATGTAAAACCGAAATGTTTAAAACCAAAATCTTTTTTTACTTTGTTGCCAGAGCTCAGCCAAGCTAAATTTAAATGGGCAGCAATTTAGGCCTCTTTATCCACAATGAGATGGTGTTGGTTTATTCTATCATCTCTTTCTGTGAGAATCTCATTTGTTCCTTTCTCTTTTGTAGTGACACATTAAGAATTCCAACTACTGGCCTTCTGAGTTTATTCACAGGTGACTTGTGGTTCCTGCTTCTTCAAAGGCTCCCCTTTGATTTCTTCAAGAAGCACACAGGACTGAACTACTGACTTCCCGCAGTCGTGACAGAACACCCCTAGGGAAACACCACCTCTCATTCAACGTATCAGTTCCTTTGCAGCACCCCAGCCATTTTTGGGAAGCACGTTCCTCTATGCAGTTGTGGGACTGGGGTCAAGGATGGGTCTGAGCTCAGGGGACATCGATGTTATGCCAAAGAAGTCCGTGTGACTTCTATCAGTATAAAGATGCAGCCAGTGAATTTCAGGCAAGCTGTAGTTTCTTTTATGCAAACACTAAGCATTCAATACTGTCTGACAAGGCCCAGAGCCCTTACACCCTTGCTCAATGACCTGGCTCCCTACTGAACCAATATTAGCTAAGCAACTACACTTATAATCTAATAGGTTGGCTGCAGCTCGACCCACACTGTACCCACACTGTGACTCTGTTACACAAATCACCCCAACAAAGGGTTTCAGTGCCAGCCCACTCCAGACTCCTCCAGTCTTTCAGGAGCTATCTCTCAATGATCCTTGCTAGCTCTTAACCTCATTCCTTGAAATCCATTCTTTGATTTCTGGGGACACGGATGTCTGACATCTAGCAGTTGGGTGTCACAATTCTATTCCATTACAGGAAAATGCCACTGCTCTCTAGGGCACTACAGGACCCCTGCCGACTCTTGGCCATCGCACTCTGCATCTCTCCACCCAACTGAGACCATTTTCTCTTTGTTTAAAGGGCATTTAAAATATGCGCTCCCCATTTAAAAGGGAAAACTCCCACTCAACTCACCCTCTTCTTCTGCCAGGCCTCTCGCCTCACTCCCCACCCTCGGACCCCTCCCCACAACCACCACATCCAGTCACTGGTCACCTTCCTAATGAAGCGTTTCCCATCCACACACCCCACGGAAAAGGGTGCTCAGTCTGCAGCAGCCCTGACTGTGCTGACTGAGAAAAGCATACATGTCCTAGCCACGGCTGCATATAAAGCAGCCGGCCCACCCTGGGATGCTCAGGGATGAAAGACTGACTGTCCGCAGCACCACCTCTGCCTACCTCCCCACCTGACCAGGTCCCAAGCGCCAGAAAGGAAACAGGAAGGGACTCCATGGAGTCTCTCACCCTGGAGAGGTTATGGGTCAGGTGTCTGTAGTTCTCAGAGATTAGGTTGTCTGCTTGGCAGGGTGAAGATGGCTCACATGGCCAGGGACGAAGAGGCTGGACTTCGGCAAGGCGAGGCTGACCTCTCATTCCCAATCGAATAAGTGAAGCATGTGCTCCTTCGCTTTGCACCTCACACAGTAACGGGGCAGAAAACCTCAAGGAGACAGCAAGGGGAGAGAAGCTTTGCTCCCCAGGTTCTGTTTGCCTTGTGCAGCTCTGGTTCAGGGTTTGTGTCTAGATGGACCGCCAAAGCCTCATGTGGTTGTAGGGGGACTTTTGAGGGACAGCTGGATCTAGGAGTGTGTGATGCTAGAATTAAGGGTGTGTGACTGCTACACTAGCCCACTGATTGGCTTGCGATGTTCTAGGTGTGAATAATGGAAAGGCCTGAGTGTGAGCACTGCCCGCCCAAAGGGTGCGTGGCCCACAGGATGTGAAGGACAGAGGAGGGCTCTGCGGCTGTCAGTGCACGCGCTGCGGCTGCTGCCTCCTGCCTGCTCTGGATGCCCCTCTGCCACACCACCCTGCCTTGAAGCCAGCTGATTATGAACTGAAACCTCTATAAACTGCAAGCTACAATAAAACCTTTTTCCTTTAACCTGAGGTGTTGGGCATTTTATCTCAGCAATGAGAAAAAGTAGCTCAGACAGTGACTAAACTGGAGCATCTTCTAGTATCTCCTCAAAAGGCCACCTGCCAGGTCAAAGTGATCCCTGTCCAGTAATTCAGTTTAGTTATGATACGTAAGGCAGTCAGAATACCTAAGATAGGGTCAGGTAAAAGAAAATAGCCTTCCTGGTTAGGGACTACTAGAAGCTGCAAAAACATGCTCAGAGACACAAAAGTAAACAAAAAAAGAGCTACAACTAGAGGGAGCTGAGGGCCTTTCCTTCCAGGAAGAAGGTATCCTAAGTTAGTTGACAGCTCTTCTGTAAGGGCTAGACTTAGAAGAATTTAAAAATGCAGGAAAAACCAGCTGTCTTAGAATTTGGTGTCCTATAAACCAGCTAAATAATTAATTTCTTTTAAATCCTAAGCCCTGCTCAATAGCCACCTGTTTAAAACAAGTCCCTGGAGCTGGGGAGAGAGCTCAGTAGTCTAAGCACCTGCTTGGCCAGCACAAGGACCCAGGTTTGATCCCCCGTATCACAAGCCATGCTGGCCCCAAAACCCAAGGAATGCTGTGCTGGCCACGAAAATCAGGCATGGTGGCGCACACCTGTAGTCCTAACACTGAGGAGGCTGAGACAAGAGGGTCACTATGAGTCTGAGCTGTGTATCAAGACCCTATAACAAACAAACAAATAATAAAACAAGTTCCTTTACACAAGCCCAAAACAGAGAAGGCACATCAGACTTGTATTCAGACTTACATTCCTCTTGGGTATCCATCAAGAGCTTTTTCTTTTTATTTTCAGTAAGTATGCTTCTAAACTCCTCTGTTTGTCCATAAGTTTAGTCTTCAATTTCATGAGACAAAGAACTTGGATTTATTAAAATTAACCATTTAACCAACACCAACTACTTTAAAGTCCCTGTTTTTCCTCCTGACCAAGCTTAGGAGAAAAAACTGAGTCCAAACAAGGACAGGAAGTGGGACCCAAGGCAGAACACCCCCGTGTACATCACAAGCCTGGCAAGTGTAAGGTCAGGGAAGCCCACTGTTAATGACAGTCTCCCAGACACGGCCATGTAAGTGGTGCACAGTAGGCTTCATAATTATTTGCTAAATAAATGGACAGCATTTTTTTCAGACCCACATGGCCTTCTTGCCTTCTCATTCCACTCATTGAACCACAAATATTTCTTAAAGAGTGATTTTATGTACATTTTTTAATCTTATCATTAATCACTGATTAAGACATGATTCTTACACTCATGACAGTTATACAGTCACATCCTCCACTAGAGGACATGTACCTAGACATGTACCTTTTTCTAATTGGTCTTTTATTCTTCATCTAAAAATGCATGTCCCTTTGCTGGGAAAAGCATAGTGGCTTCACCTCTCTATCTGTTACTAAAATCCTGAAGAAAACCAATAACAGCCCCTTTTCCTTGGACCTGGGGTAGACGAAGGTGACTATAATGTGCAGCCTTAGATAAGGCCCTGTCTTAGCGGAACAGAGGACACAGTGCATGAGACCTGTCTTAGCAGGCCGCCATAAGCAATCCAACACAGAGGACGAAGAAAGGTACTATGAATTGCGAACGTTCCCTTCAGAGAGCAGAACTTCATATAAAACCTACACTAGAATCCCAATTGATCTACAGATTTTTATCAGACTATTAGTAAGAATTAATTAGCATTTCGCATCTTTAGTTTAAGTGGTTCCTTAGCAACTATTATTGCTTCCTTCATATATTTTTGGCAAGCATCTTAACAATTATTTTTTTTACCACTATTAGAATGATACATGCATGATATCAAAAATCTAGAAAACACAGCAAAGCTGATATAAAAATCAAGTATACTCTTATAAAGATACAAATATTCTGGCACATTTCCATTTAATCTTTGACTTAATAGCTATTTGAAATTAATATGTCCCAATAAGCCAACTCTGGCAAAAATCACCAATAAACTCAGATTTAAATTGCCATCCACAACCTCTTTCAATCTGTACAAGGTTGTATCTTTGTGACTGTAGAATGAGCAGTAGATTCACTTTAAAAACATAAAATTCAAAGGGAGAAACTGGTTACATTGGTTGTTTAATACCTAAACAGCGGCTGGTGCTGCTCACTTTTCTATTTGTCTTTCCAGCATGTCAGCAGTTAGAATCCAGATCTTTAACTATTAGTTGAGATATAATACCATTTAAATATAGATTTCTCTGACTGTTTAATACAAAAAATAGAGTGCTAGTAGTATTTTCTTGACAAATATACAATTATCATTATTTATCAACATATTTAACAGGAATTTATTTTCAACTACAGCATTCCAAAGTGAATATGCTATTCAATGTTATTTAAAATAAAAAGTACTGGCTTACCTGATTAAGAAATTATGTAGTCCAACATCAAAATACCTGTTCAAAGAGAAAAAGACAAGTAGATCAATACAACATATCCATACCAATAACACACTTTATCAAAAAATATAAAATCTACTTTGAGAATATGGTAAAGAAATGGATCACTCCACAGCAGTGGTTTACAAAGGTAACCTCATATTGTTGGAAATATAAAGGCTCAGACCCCAGCTCATATATTCTGACCCAGAAATTCTGAGAAGAGGTCCACAAGTAGATGTAGTAGCCCTCAAGGTGATTTTAACACAGAGCCACGGGCACACAGGCTCTGCATGGGCCAGGCTCCTGGGCGTTACATAATTTCCCACAGATCAGCTCCCTCACCAGAGAAATGAGAGCCTTTCAGAGGGAATTCTTAGAATTAACACGTACAATTAACAGATACCTTGAGAGCAAAGGTGTCTCAGTAGGTCTAAAGCAAAGGTCTTATAGTAGATTTCCAGGTGCCTTCTACTTTTGTAATAGAAAAATCTTTTTAACACTAGCTCTCTCTGATGTTTACTTACTCAGAAACCAACAAAATGTGTTTTAAAAGCACAGAATCACACTAGTCAGAAGGCAGGGAAAGGATCAGCTCTGGTCTTTGAGCTCTGCCCAGTTTTAGTTGGGGTAGCTTTCCATGGAGAATAACCTGTCCCAAAGCTGGGTATGAGAGACAGGGGCAGGGAAGCACTGTGGCCCCATGCACTGAGCCTGGCCTGTGCCTGAGCCTCCCGCCAGGCATTTGTAAGCTCTACATAAGTGTGGACCAGTTAAATCACAGTCTTCCCTACACAGACACCATGGTATAGGGTGGTCCACGTGGCTTAGTCCACATGAATGGCACTAACATACTTGTTCCCTTCTGACCTGTGTAGACTAAGCCAACACCCTGCTCTCCCTTTGAGTGTGGCTGCAACGTGTTGCTGCAGTCCATCAGGCAAGTCACTGCTCCTAGCACATCCATGTGCCTGTCAGAACCCATCCAAGGACTGGCTTCCTGGTCTGCAATCTACTTAAGAAAGGCCAGAGTCAATCCTGTTCCTACAGGCAATGGACACAGGAATTAGCCTAGAGTGAAGTCCACTGCTCAAGCCACCTGTCCCCAGCTTCCAGCTCCATCCTTGCTCTGTCCCTGAAACAATCCAGCCACTTGACACTTCCCCCACATGACATTATAATAGGACTCCTTGCAGGGCCTTTCTAAATGACAAGGCTATTTATGTACATAACTATCTACAGGTCTTGGACTTGGGGGAAGTGAGAATAGAGCAACTCAAAGCCCAAAAACAAGGTGTATCATTTGCCACATTAATTACCCAAAATAATTTCAAAGTTCAGGAAAGGGGAGCTAGGTACCTGAACTCCCCTAATTCATAAGCCTTCTGTGCACAGCTGCTCTCCATGGGGAGCTGTCCCTGCAAGGAGCACAGACTGTTCCAAGTGAGCTCACTCGTCCAGGTGAGATGCTAAGTTCTTCCTACAATTGTACTGCACGCCAATTTTTATAAATAGAAATGATCCTTCCTCTCAACCAAAACCAAGGCTACTCTATTCAGCCATGTAAGTAAATATCTATGGCACAGGTAGCAAGTGTAAGTCTGCCATATCTAAAGTGGGAGGAGGGATAGGAATACGTAGATTGAAACCAAGGCTTCAGCTGCTTTGTCTCATCCAGTGCTCATTCAGCCTTTTCCACTGCATCAGCTATGGCAAGAAGAGACTTCCAGAAACACATGGATAGGGTCTACAGCTTTAGTGCAGTGACTGGGGTTGGGGAAGAAGGCACTGAAAGATCAAGCGGAAATCTAAGAATAGTACTAGAAATTGCTATTCCCACCTAGAATGCACCAAGTAATATACTCTGAATTCACATATGCATGTGGTCACCACTGAGACAGTACGGGTATTCTATGTATTTGTGAAGGAATCCAAGCAGCTAGGTAACTCACACAGCCAGAAGACAAAGCTGGCATCAGCCTAAACTCTAAGGGAGGTGAATGGCTTGCCCCTCCCAGCAGCCTGCTAGATTGTGCACTGGCACTACTGTTTCTGGAGACTGCTACTTGAAAACAGCTGCTCTTTTACAAATGGACCCCACCCTGCACCACCTGCTGCTCCCAGCAGAGTCCCTGCTCTGGGTCTCCCACAAGCCTGGCCTCAGACACATGGGCTCTAGGAAGTTACAGAAGTTCTCTTGGGTCAGCACCCTCAACACCTGGGGAAATGAGAGCCTTTTGATAAGGAGTTCTGAGAATTAGTAGATATAATAGACACACACAGCTGAGCAGAGCAGCTGGCATATAGCCCATACTCAAGTGAGCATCTTCTTCTTGCCTACTGTTAAAGCTTGCTTTAATGGAGCTGGGTTGTCCTAGAAGCCTAGGAGAGGCTGAGACAGGAGGATTGCAACTTCAAGTCCAACCTGGGCAATTTAGCAACTCTGTAATACTGGCTCAAATAAAAAAAAGGTTTTTGTTTGTTTGTTTGTTTTGGTCTAGATTTAGGATTTAGGGATATAGCTCGGTACAGTAGTCCTGAGTTCATTCCCTAGTACTAAGAAAAGAAAAAGTAACAATAGAAAAAGGAAAGTTGTTTTAGTGGGAGCCTCATTCCCCATACCTCAATGGTGAAGCAAGCTACAAAAAGGACACACAGCATCTTAAAATGTAGGGGACAGCCGAGGGAGAGACAGACAGAGGTCACACTCCAGGCCCTAGTGGGGCAGGCAGAAAGCTGCAGGGTTGGAGGCTCAGCAAGGACCCTGGCACCAGTGGGACAGAGCCCAAGGAGCAGGCAGGCGAACATGTCAGTGCTGAAGCCAACGGAATACACACTGCTGGTACTCAGCTGTGCCTGCGAGAGGCTGTGTCACCTAAAGCTCAGGCTCAGCTGCCCAGAAGCGCAGGGTGGAGGCATGGGCTGTGCGCTGTCCTGCTCTTCTCAGGTGGGTGTGCTTGTCTGTGGTGCAGGGAGCGGGGGGCTGCCTGTGGGCAGGGGCTTCAAGGATGCCTATGCCAGGCAAGCTCATTAGGGTGGAAAAAGAGTATGAGAAGTTGGCACTCACAGGGAAACTGAAGTGAAATGGAAAGAACCAGAGGTGGAAGTTAGCATCAGAAGACATGACAAGAGAACTGGAAGGGGAGGGAGTCAAAGCCTCTCACAGGCATGAGCGTCTTCCACCACAGCCACACTGCTTCATCGCCAGGGCATTCACTCACATGCAGTGACTGTATTCTCAGTGCCTTCTATGCTGGGGAGCCTGGGGTACAGAAGTGATCACATAAGAAGCCCCCCAACTTTCCTGCCACTCACATTCTGGTTAGAAATGGTAAACAACACACAAGCATGTGAATAAGAAGCATCTGATATCAGAGAACATGAACAAGGTGGCAGGGCAGTGACTCCCCCTGGAGGTCATCTCTGAGGAGGGGATGTCTCCCTGCATAGTCAGAAAGGGACAGCTACATAGAGAGCAGAAGAAGAATGTTACAGACAGCAGGACATCTGGGGAAAGGAGCCCAGCTGGGAAGAGGGACCCACACTGAGAAGAAAGAATGTGGTGGTTGTGGCTGCTAAAAGCCAGGGTCAGCACAGCATGGGGGGGGGTGGAAAACGGGGACCAACTGAGGTCTAAAAGACAAGCAGCACCAGCTCTTGAAGGGCTCTGCAGGATACAATTTGGGTTTAACTTTAACACTGACAGGAAACATTAGGTGAATTTTAATAGTGAAGTGGTATTTTTTAAAGTATTTACATTTCATTCAATGGGGAGGAGGTATAGTATGCTTTGGTCTATGGGTTAAAAGGGTCACTGTAGTAGATGTCCTAGAGAGGAAGCAGGGAAGGGGAAGTAGGATAAAGCCACTGCCTTTCATGGAGCACTAGAGAGGAAAGACAAGCATAGATCCAGCTATAATTTTTTGGCAAAGTCTGAAATGTTTATCAGCAGACCCAAGCGTGTGAAGAGAGCTGGGCTAAGAATGCAAAGGACTGAACAGCCTGCAATGCAGCGAAATGCCCATATCACAGTTTCAGGTCAAGCAACCCAGAGGCTTCTGCATGGTGTCTGGCTTTATTAGGGAACTTCTTTAGCACGCATGTGCAGAGTGAAGAAACAAAAGGATGGTCCTGTGGGCAAACTTGGGAAACGGCTCACTTGCCGCATGCACTCAAGACCCTGAGGCTGCATCTCTTCTTTCTATAGCCAGAGGGGCAAAGTATATATAGCAAAATTTACCGCTTCAACTATTTTTAAGTTTATATAGCAATGTCATTCAAGACATTCACTGACCAGGGATATAGCTCAGGGACAGAGCATGTGCATGGGCCTGGGTTTGAACACCAGCATGTGTGCACGCGCACGCACACATGCACACATAGTGCATTCTCATTGTGTGGCAGCCATCTCCACCCTGTATCTGCAGAACTCTTCTGTTTTGCCAAATTAAAATTCTGACCCCACTAAACATAAGCTTATGAAACATAAGCCCCCTCCCACCCCTTCTCATCCTTGTGCTCTACTTTCTGGCTATAAATTTGACAAGTCTCGGTACTTTCTATAAATGGAACAATATATTTGTCCTTTTGTGTCTGGGTAGCTATAGGTTTTTGAAACTAAGATTGACCTAATTTACCATAAAACCAACCATCGCTTTCCTGCCCAAAGACTTGAGGGAATAATTGGCTGCAAATTCATCTCTTTCCATGAAGGTACTGGCCAACCAACCAAATCCCTCTTCCTTCTCCTCCATCTGCACAACATGGTCTAGCTCCTAGAGATTTAGCTTTAGCACTACACATATGGGGTATTTAAAAACTAAACATACTCAAAATCACATTCACCTTATAAAATATGTTAATCTTGGAAAGGTAATATGTGTCTTCTTTGTTTTGCTCATGACTAGAGAAGTTTCCATTCTTATAGCATGTATGGAAGAGTTGCATTGCAAAGCACATTTTGATGCTCTGAAATACTTCCCAGAGATAATTTTGTGTAACCACCTAAAGCATAAAGG